ATTATTCTTCTAGTCTATATAGTTTTTTATACCACACATCACAGTATCTGATTGTTTTTCAGTAGTGCATTAAGCCATGTGACTACACAAATCACACATTGTTTGTTCTCTCATCTGAGGGAGAAGCATGTGCAGTGGAGTGTCTTGTTTCGATAGCAACAGATATATACATATTAAAAAAAATAAGCTACGCGTTTATCAGAAAGTAGTGAGGTCTGCGATCGTCCTTAGTTCCTGGGGGGAAGTTCATTCCATAGTCTCAGACCACACCTAGAGAAAGTTCTGTCTCCTGCTTGGACGAGTTTTACTGCTGTGGTAGAGGGTTTCACTGTGCCAGAGGAGCAAAGTTATTGACCACAGTGTTTGTCCCAGAGCTTCAGATGATCGTTTAGACAGCCTGGGCCCAGGCTATGGAGCAGTTTGAAAATAATGACTGAGATTTTGAAATTGATTCAATGGTCTATGAGAAGCCAGTGTAGACAGCAGAGGACAGGTCTGATACGCCCTGGTGACCTGTGTTGCCGAGAAGACACACCAACGAATTCTGCAGTAGTTGGAGTTTTCTAAGTGCTGAAGGCTTCATACCCAAATATATTGCATTGCTGTAATCCAGCCAAGTCGTGATGGAGGCTGAATAACTGAGGCCAGATCTTCATCTGCCAGGATGGGACTGAGTTTCCGAGCCAAGGAGAGATGGTAAAAACCGTTACTCACAGATGCAGTTATGTGAGAGCTCTACATCAATGAGGAATCCATGAGTACTCCTAAACTATGGATGGAATTGATTGATTGTGCAAGTGTATCTTCAACCAAAGGATACTGCACCATGGCTGCACACATTTCAAAATACTTCACCTCCATCTGGTTTGGGTTCGCTTTCAGCCAGCTGTTCTTCATTCAAGAGTTGATCTTATCTAAACATTGAGCCATATTGGTGGTAGCAGTTTGGTTGCATGTGGTGAAGAATAGGCTGTGTCTCTTCTGCATATTGCTGGCATTTAAGTCACTGTCATCTGACCAATTCACCTATGTAGGCACAGAAAAGGACCAGAGAGATAACAGATCCTTGCGGACCTCCACAAGTAAGGGGTCTGGTGATGGAGATGCAGTTTCCCCATCACTACTTATTTGGGAGCATCCTTCCAGAAAAGGACTCAAAACACTTTAGCACATGAACCCCTGCCACACCTCTCAAGCGAGAGAGCACCATTTTACGGTCAACAGTGACAAATGTTGTAAAGAGGTCCAGCAGGATGAAAATGGATGTCTGTCCTCCACCCATTGACTGGAAGGGATCATCCAACAGTGCACTAAAGTGCTATTGGTTCCATGTCCTGGCCTGAAGCATATTGTGCAGGATCCAGAATGTCAGATGAGCTCATTATGGCTGACCTTTTGTTAGCTTCTCTGTGAGCTTCCTGAGGAATGGCAGGTTTGACACTGGGCTGTAGCTGCCTATGACTGAAGTATTCAGGATGGGTTTCTTCAGTGTTGGTTGGACTAATAAGCGTTTGAAGGAGGAAGGGGAGATTCCTTCTCTGAAAGAGGCACTCACTATTTTGGTCAGGCGTGGCACCAGTTGTTCATGATTTTCTTTCCTTAAAGAAAAGTTTCTCACACACACACACACTAGGAACAACATAATGTTGTAGTCAAAGAAACTCTTCTTGCCTCCTGCAGTGCCATGGCATAAGACTTCAAAAAATATTTACAACTAGAACAAGACTTCCACCTTCAACACTCTAGCTGCCTTCCCTCTCATTTTAGCTGTTGCAGGACATCAGCAACGACAGCAACATGTGAGGATGCAGAGAGGGGACAGAATGCTTAGTGACTTCTGTGCTGACACTTGATGACAAAAGCCCATTACCAGTCCAATTACCCCATGAGTTAAGTGTCTGTTGTAGGAAGCTGTTCTCTCTCAGAGCACTCCAGAAACATTTGGGTTCCATACACTCCAAAGACAAGAATCAAAACAGGCCCTTGAATGGAAAGATTACTGTAAATCACAGCAGATTGTGTAAAAAGAAAAGGCGTACTTGTGGCACCTTAGAAACTAACCAATTTATTTGAGCACAAGCTTTCGTGAGCTACAGCTCACTTCATTGGATGTGTGTGAGAAAGAGGAGGAAACAGTAGCAATCAATAAGAAAAGGAGTTGGCAGGGAAATTTCTTGCTAGTTTCAAAGTGGATTGTTTGTTTGAAGCTATCCTCTTGCCCAACCCATACATTCCCTAACTAGTGTTCTAACCTGTGTTCAAGTTCTTTGTTTCACCCTGCATTTCCCCTACTTTTTCCTTCTTCCCCAACACACAAAGGCAGAGTGTGTGACCAGTAAGTCATCTTAAATTAATGGAAAGTCTCTGAAGAAGCCAATGAGCAGTGCTGCTGTGGAAAGCAAGCACTTGTGCTAACCACCACCACCACACTATAAATACTACAAGTAGCTGCACAAGTACAGCATGCTCATTTGCAGTTACTGTTCTCCCAGACAGCCACAAATGAGGCCTAGCGTGTGTGATGGTGACATTGACTCCTGGAGCACAAGTACTGGATGGCTGACCAAGTCATTTCACAGAAGGCAAGGAAGTAACTCTCCTGGATAATAATGATTAGCCTGCAAAAGTCTCCAAGGGAGCAAGAAAGAGGAATGATAGATTTCTTCTAGAAAGAAAAAAGGTAACTTATGCCTTCATCTTTACATTTAGTCACCTGGATGATAAGTCGTGACACCTCTCAAAGATCAATGTATGTTCCTCATAGAATCAAAAATGTTATTACAGACACCAGGAATTTGCCTGTAGAGCCAGCACCAGCTGCAGAAAGATTATTGTTCTAGTTGTGTATAGTCACTTTACTTTAGTACTTACTATTGCAGCTGTGATTATAAAGTGTTTGTGGGCATTTCTGGTTCCAGGTCAAGCATTTTACATACAAAACAGCCCTGGACATGCTACTTATATTGTTTCAACAAAATTTACAGGGGCGTATTATTTTACTACTCACTGTAAAGGCCTTATTTGTTAGTCAGTTTAGACAACATCTCTATAAATGCAATGTTTCTAATATTTTTTTAAAAATTCAGGAACTCTGTTTCAAGTATTGGAGAAGGGATTATTTTCTAGTCACTGTACCTCACTGCCACCACAGTACTACTCGATAGTCAAGCAATCCCTAGAATGCCCAATGCTATTTTAACTAGGGCTGTCGAGCAATTAAAAAAAATTAATTGCGATTAATCATGCTGTTAAACAATAATAGAATACCATTTCTTGAATATATTTGAAAATGTAGAAAACATCCACAAATATTTAATTTCAATTACAACACAGAATACCAAGTGTACAGTTCTCACTTTATATTTATTTTTTATTATAAATATTTACACTGTGAAAAAAAACCCCAAAAATAGTATTTTTCAATTCACCTCATACAAGTACCATAGTGCAATCTCTTTATCGTGAAAGTGCAACTTACAAATGTGGATTTTTTTTTGGTTACATAACTGCTTTCAAAAACAAAACAAGGTAAAACTTTAGAGCCTAGAAGTCTACTCAGTCCTACTTCTTCTTCAGCCAATCGCTAAGAGAAACAAGTTTGTTTACATTTATGGGAGATAATGCTGCCCGCTTCTTATTTAAAATGTCACCTGAAAGTGAGAACAGGTGTTCGCATGGCACTTTTGTAGCCAGCATTGCAAGGTATTTACGTGCCAGATATGCTAAACATTCATGATAGAGAGATTGTACTACGGTACTTTTATGAGGAGAATTGAAAAATACTATTTCTTTTGTTTATCATTTTACAGTGCAAATATTTGTAATCAAAATAATAATATAAAGTAAGCACTGTACACTTTGTATTATGTGTTGTAACTGAAATCAATGTATTTGAGAGTATAGAAAAACATCCAAAAATACTTAATACATTTCAACTGGTATTTTATTGTTTAACAGTGCAATTAAAACCACGATTAATCGTGATTCATCTTTTAATTGCGATTAATTTTTTGAGTTAACCATGTGAGTTAACTGCGATTAATCGACAGCCCTAATTTTAACACATTCTTGAACAGTTAATTATGAGAGAAAGTCCATTTGCTTTAAGACAGGACTTGCAGAGCAACCATTCTGAGCAGTGGCTCCGACAATCTCACTGGTACTGAGCAACTCACACCAAAGTCAACATCTTTCATGATCTAGTCATACGTTAAGAGAGCCGCAGTGAGCCACAACTTCTCAACACTGGGCTGTTCAAACTCAAACAAGACATCACTGACATAGCTATAAACTAAATAGAGCTGAGTGGCAGCAGTCACCATTGTCAGTCCTGTTGGCCAATATGTCATCATGCAAAGCAAACAAACACTCACAAATGATCTTCAGCTCTTTAGGCTGCCCTGTATTTTTAAACAGACACATCACACACAATCAAAAATATTATTTAAGGTTCTTTACGCAGGTTTATCAGAGAAGTCAGCATTCAGATTTTTAAGGATGTTAACTTTCAATAATCTGGTACATGCCAACAGTAATCTGTCTACATAGATATCAGGTAGAAAGCTGCTGAATGAAAAGGTAACAGAACTTCAGAAACAATTTTTATTTCCCTGTACATCACTCCCATTAACTGAGTTACACCAAGGGGCTTAACTTCTCCTTCAATGTGCATGCACAGGACTGAAAAGGAAATATGAACCACCCCCAAATGCTGCTAAGCATCTCTCCATCTAAGTTAGACCTACCTCAGTATGCCACAACTCACTAGCGCAGTGAAAAACATTCAATATTTACAGCACAATGAACATGTTAACTGACAGCACTGACTAACCACTGCATTATCCTTTCAGCACCTATTTATAATCAGATGCTAATAGATCTGGGTTGGTTGCTATGACAAACAGGCATATATAGCTTTATCCAGTTCATAGAAAATAAAGAACTGAACCTGACTGATGCAAGTCAATAGTGTTTAAAAAGCAGCTGTCTCTCTTTCATACCGGTAAGTCCACACTGACATCAGTTCCATCCAGCAACGATACTCGACAAGTGATGATGGATTTTGCATCTCCCGCCGCAGGGATGTGGGTTGCAGCTCTTTGGGCCTCTCTTAGCCGCTCCTTCTCCACATGCTTGCGCATAGACCGACGCCCCAGAGTTCGTCGAAAGAAACGTAACATCTTTGCTATGGAGCCCCAAGACAAAGAAAGGACAGATGTTAACATTTCAAGAAAGCAAAAGAATCTAAGACAGCACTTAATGAAGCCTGTGATTTTCCAGGGGGTCTAATGGAATTAGGGACTCAAATTCAATTGAAGTGTTTAGGGATCTGGGTGCTTAACTCCTTTCAGCTCCTTAGAAAATCCCAAATAAAAGCCTTAGTGAAACACTGAATGGGATTCAGGGATTGGTTCCCAGCACCATGTTAAGACAACTTGGGTGCTTAAAGTAAAGTATTTTAGGAAAATCCAGTGACTCCTTATTCAGATCTCACACCGTTAACAGTGAGCTTATACCCATGGCAGTCAAATTTCTCTATGACCCTAAAATAGTTAGTTATGCTTTCTCCCAGGCTACTTTCCTGATTGAAATGCTCCCCTTTTCATATGGAACAAGTTACAAACAGTTCTAAATACTCTTTGGATTGTGCACAAAATCCAATTTATAAACAAATCAGACAATTTGTACACATTTATTCCCTTTCAGTCACAGAAACGCTGATTTAGGTGGATGAGTGCCTGAGCTGGCAAACCTACCCAGGCTGTAAGTTCCTATCTAAACTACAAATACAATCCCATCAGGGACTTGAGTCACAACAGAAAAGTCCCCTAAGTTAGTTCCAAGCTTGGGCCTCCATCCTGTAAGCTGATCTGCACAGGTGGAAGCCTGTACCTTAGCACAGCCCTGCTGACTTCAATTATGCTCTATGCAGGGATTCAGTTGTTTGCAACCAGGGAATCTAAAAGCTGATCCAGTTTGTAGTATGATCTGGACCTTAATCACACAAAAGGTAATAACCAGCCTACACTACAAAGTGAAAACATGTTTGTAACCAGTTCATGTGATGCCTCCTCTGTGGCCAGGTTCCATAGCATTTGTAATGCACACAAGGCCTAAGACTGTTTTGGGAAGGTCAGTCACCCCTGAGCCCGTGGTTTAAACTGTGCTATGACAAGCACCTGGAGATTTGCACCTTGCATGAATCACATTTGAGTCAAAACAAGCTGGTTCCCTGTAAGTTTCAACCTTAATCACAACCCAAAAGTAAAAAACACCAAACGTATCTTCCGTATTCTGTCTGGACTTGCCTGCCACATGCTATCATGGTGCAAATCAGAAATTCCTCTAAAGTTAACTAAGACCAATAGCAACAGAGACTTAAAAAAAAAAATTACAAATATGACTTGCGTCATAAACCCACAATAATATCCACTCCCATTCATAATATAATCCAATAACATCTGCTGCCATTCATAACGTCAGTTTTACTGAAACTAGTAGACTAGAAGGATGAGGCCTATGTCTCATATTTAATTAAAATGAAAAATATATGGTTTAAAGGGACAGTCAGAAAATCTAACTAAGAAGCCATACAGAAAATGGCAAGCTGAACATCATTTCATTTCTGTCTCCTGCCCCAGCCCTGTCTCCTCTTTGTCTTCACCTCCCAAAAAAACAGTAGCAGAGTTTACAAAGCTACCCACTGCAGTTTAGTATTTAAACAGGACAGTGGGAAGCCACATGCTTCTGCTATAACTGTTCACAGAGACATCCAACAGGTTGTTTGCAAGGAGTTGCTGAACAGCTCAGGCTTCCTCTTGCCCTTCTTCACAATGCTTCATGCTTGGCAAATCTACCCAGAAAAGAGCAACTGAAGAGGAAGACGCGCACAAAACAAAGGAACAGTGTACAAAACTGTTTTGCCTCACAATTTGGACTGTTCCAGTAATTTGTAGATGTAACAGATTCCTGTGTACAGCAGCTGCCTATAAAAGATAGCTTCGTTGCTTAGAAAACAAATAACTATAGCTTCTTACTTTATCTGGTGCCCAGGAAAATACCATTCAAGCACCTTTAAATAACACTTGAAAGGCTTAAAATTAGAGAATGAACCATCACTAAGTCACACATGCAATAAAACTACAAAAAGCATATGTGGCCTGCCTGGATTTCCAGAGGAGAAAGTGGATGCACTTATGCTCCTTACACAGCAGACAGTCACAGATTTCTTTCTAGGTCCCCCCAAAAGTTTCAATACACACAAAACAACAACAGGGCAGCGGGCTCTGAGGCTGGGTCAACCGACCCCAGCTTAGGCTGCGGGGCGAGAAATCGCCATGTAGACGTTTGGACTTGGGCTGGACCCAGCTCTCAGAGCCGGGGCACCAGCCTGAGCCCAAACATCTGCTAGTTCTAGCCCTGCAGCGTGACCCACGGGCTCTGAGACCCACTGTCACAAGGAGGGGGGCTGTGTGTGTGTGCGCTGTGGAGACACCTAGTCTCATACCTCGGTGGAGATGAGATTGTTCCCGACCTCCCTTGGCTATAAAATCAGAGAGAGTCCCAGAGGGGGGTGGGGGAAGAGGTCCTGAATGCCCAGACCGCGGCGAACAGCTCAGCAGCTCTGAACCGTCTTCATGGTGCCCCCCCCATTTAAGCCCCGGACGCGGCCAGTGCCTCCGGCGCAATCACGCGGGGCGGCCCAGGCGGGGCGGCCGTGACCCGACCGGCCGAGGCCGGGGCAGACCCGCGTCTCTCTCGGCGTGTAACACCCCACCCCGGTTCCCGGGACGGGCCGAGCCTGGCGAGGATCCTCTGCCTGGCTCCCTCGGCACGCGCCTGGGGGGTCCTTCGGGCAGCAGCCAGGGGCAAATCCCCGGCCAGGGCACAGCCCACGGGGTGGGGGGGCCGCCCACGAGGCTGGAGCCCCCGTACACCAGTGTGAGGGGGGGCGGCTGGAGCGGAACCGGGGGCTTGGGGGAGGGGGAATAGAGGGGGGCGACTCGGGGTGGGGGGGGCGGCTGGAGCGGAACTGGGGGGTGGGGGAGATGGGGGGAGCCGGAGCGGAACCGGGGGGTGGGGGAGACGGGGAATAGAGGGGGGCGACTCGGGGTGGGGGGGGCGGCTGGAGCGGAACCGGGGGCTTGGGGGAGGGGGAATAGAGGGGGGCGACTCGGGGTGGGGGGGCGGCTGGAGCGGAACTGGGGGTGGGGGAGATGGGGGGAGCCGGAGCGGAACCGGGGGGTGGGGGAGATGGGGGAATAGAGGGGGCGACTCGGGGTGGGGGGCGGCTGGAGCGGAACTGGGGGGTGGGGGAGATGGGGGGAGCTGGAGCGGAACCGGGGGGTGGGGGAGAGGGGGAACAGAGGGGGGCGACTCGGGGTGGGGGAGATGGGGGGAGCTGGAGCGGAACCGGGGGGTGGGGGAGATGGGGAATAGAGGGGGGCGACTCGGGGTGGGGCGGAACCGGGGGGTGGGGGGGCTGCAGGGAAAGGGGGGGCTCGCCCCCACACTATACCACGCGGGGGTTGCCCTGACAGACGCCCCCCCCCAGCCTGCCGGCGCCCGTGGGGACCCCCGGCAGCGCCCCGCCCCTCTCACCTGCTGCCCCGCTCGGGAGCGGAGCCGGCCCCGGCAGCTGCAGTAGGAGCGAGCCCCCGCGGCGGCTCGGGATCGGAGGGCGGAGACTGGGGCGGTTTCGGGGGCGGGCCCAGAACCGGCCGGCGGGCCAAAAATGGCCGCTCGGCTCCGCGAGGTCCCTCCCCCGCCTCCCCTTCAAGGTACTGTGCCGCCCGCCCGAGGGCGTCAGCTCGCCTTAAAGGGGCAATGCCACGCTCCACAGGACCCACGGAGAGCCCTCTCCCCTTACGGGGCCGTGCCACCCACCAGAGGGCCCACAGAGAACAGCTCCCCTTAAAGGGGCAGTGCCACACTCGAGAGGGCCTACGCGGGGCCACCTCTCCTTAAAGGGGCTATGCCACCCTCCCCCAGCGCCTCCACAGGACCATCTCCCCTTAAAGGCGCTGTGCCACTTGCCAGAGGGCCGACGTAGGACCGCCTCTCCTTGGAGGGGCAGTCACCCACCATAGGACCCACAGAGAGCAGCTCTCCTTAAAGGGGCAGTGCTGCTGCTGATAGGAGGGCGGGCATAGGTAACAAGTACCTGCTCCTCTTAAACGGGCCCTGGTTCCAGTGCGGTCAGAGCAGGACAGTGCCACCAGCCTGAGGCACCAGGGAGAGAGGCAGGAGCAGTTCCGTTGGGGCTGGGGAGGGGGGCTGGAGGACCACAGGAAGCTCCCCTTTAAATGAAGGGCCTCGCCCTTTGGCCACACCCCACACTTGAAACCAAAGGCTGAGTGCAGGAGGTGCTCTCTGTCCTTTAGGTGCCTGTTAACTCTGGAGCCTAGTGAGGACACTTTTATAGCAGACATGTCATGGAACCTCCCCAACGCACCTCCCACTTCTCCCCCCGCCCTGGTAGCAATGATAGCAAAGCTCAGCACTGTTCCTACCCTTCTGACAAGCAAAGGCACAGGAGCAGCCTGAACAAAGTTTTCCAGGCTTGGTTAAACGCTAATTACAGGAGAGATGGTATGCAGCACTGCCAACCTATGCCTGTGAGTCTGGCATATGTTACCAAGGGAGGCTGTGGAATCCCCCTCATTGGAGGTTTTTAGGGTTCTCAACCTTCATAGCATCATGACCCCCTCTGACAACAAAAATTACCCTGTGACCCCAGGAGGGGGGGGATAGAAGCCTGAGCCCGCCTACGCCCTGCTGCCCCAGGTCGGGGGCCAAAGCCCGAGCCCCACCGCCCTGAACTGGGGGACAAAGCCAAAGCCCAAGGGCTTCAGCCCCAGGCAGGGGGCCTGTAACCTGAGCACCGCCACCCAGGGCTGAAGCCCTCAGGCTTTGGCTTCGACCGCAGGCGGTGGTGCTCGGGCTCGGGCTTCGGTTTCAGGCCCCTGCAAGGATAAACCAGCCCTGCTGACTCCATTAAAATGGGGTCGCGACTCTCTTTGGGGTCCCGACCCACAGTTTGAGAACCATTGGTAAACAGGGATGGTCTAGGACTAGGTTTACTTGATCCTGCCTCAGCACAAGGGGGTGGACTAGGTGACCTCTTGAGGTCCCTTCCAGCCCTATGTCTCTATGAGTCTATAAATGCTAACTTTAAAAGAGTAATGCCACCAGGGAAGGGTATTTAGGAGAGATTAGCTCTGACCCAACTCCTGGCAGCTGCAGAACCCTGGCCCCTGTTTCAGAAACTATCATAAGATAATGATGGTTCTCATCAGAGGCGTAGACAAATCAACCCACATTGCACTAGATAGAGATGTTAATTAAAAAACCTAAGAAAATGAGCCAGAACATTGTGTCCGATGCTATTGTGAATTCATGCCTCCAAATAGACAGTCACTGTAACTCATGTGCTTCCCTGCAGAGTTTGGAGTAGCAGGAACAGGATTCGTGTACATGCTACTCCAGACACTCAGCCCTCTAACCAGATGAGCCAAATGCAAACTGTAAAAAGTCCCATCTTTTCCACAGACCAGCTTCTTTCGTGGGTAACATCACACCTACACAGACTGTACAATACCCCCATGGCTTTGTAGGTTGACTAGCACTCAATTCTTTCCATGCACAAGTTTTCTATTAGCTGCCTTTTGGTTTGGTTTCCGTGTTTTCTCAGATGCTATGTTTTGCTTCAAAATCCTCTGGGAAAACTCAAGTGAACTACCCATGTGCCTGATTTCTATCCCCCAAACATAACATGGCCCATCTTTCCCATAAGGCTCACAGACCTACCATGGAAGTGCAGTTTTTCCTTACTCTGCTTGCATTTAATGTTCCTGAAATATTCTGAGATCCCCAGGATGACCCTTACTATAGAAAGGCAAGATATTTTGGCATAAGGGTGCCCCCTTCGTCTCCCATGGCCAACACAGGCACCTACCCAAGGGAGAAACCATCCCCATTTCCTTTTTCCTATGTCTAGGTGGAAACAGAGGATATTACCAGCATTCAAAAGTCATGAGGCAGAGCCCCCGCCCCCCACCACAAAAATCAGGAAATGGACTTACCACCCGAAACTTTTCTTCTTAGCCTGTCTGATTTTTCAACCTCTAAGACAGTGGTTCTCAACCAGGGTTACACATACCCCTGGGGGTACGCAGAGGTCTTCCAGCGGGTACATCAACTCATCTAGATATTTTCCTGGTTTTACAATAGGCTACATAAAAAGCACTAGCAAAGTCAGTACAAACTAAAATTTCATACAATTACTTGTTTATACTGCTCTATATACTATACACTAAAATGTAAGTACAATATTTACATTCCACTTGGTTTATTTTATAATTATATGGTAAAAATGAGAAAGGAAGCAATTTTTCAGTAATAGTGTGCTGTGACATGTTTGTATTTCTGTGTCTGATTTCGTAAGCAAGTCATTTTTAAGTGAGGTGAAACTTGGGGTACGGAACACAAACCAGACTCCTGGAAGGGGTACAGTAGTCTGGAAAGGCTGAGAGCCACTGCTCTAAGGAGGAGCCACCCGCCTCCAATGCATATGTAACTATGTCAGGTTCAAAATGACCTTAAGGGTAAGCACACAAATACAGGCTACTCGCTGGCCGCTGTGAGGGTGGACTCCACTTGCACACTCCCATATCCTTGGAGGGGAGCTGTCATTCTATTTCCCACATTCCCAATCTCTTATCACTATCCTGCCTCCCACCCGCCGCACTGAGAAACATTGAGGAGACAGCAGGGTACCCTGTGATGTCAGAAAGGGACACAAAAGGGAGGAGAATACAGGCGCCCTCCCCTACTCACTTTCTCCCTCTATGGTCTTTCCAGTGTCCTATCCTCCCACCTGCCTCCTCATTCCTCTCAATCTGCTCACATTCTTCCTCTCTGCCACCTACTTCCTTGGTCACTTCAACCTCCCTCTTGATTTCCCCTCACAGGCTGCTTTCTGCCACTACCTCTGACACTTCCCTGCAACCTCTCCGTTCCACCAGTCCCTGCAGCCTCCCTCCCATTAGACAGCTAGGTACTTATATGGCCCTCAGAACTGTAGTGTCTGAGCCCCAACAGCATTTCCTGCAGCACGGAGTCCCTTAGAGGTGTCCTGTCCAAATACTGATTTTTGCTGAGTACATCAGCGTGATCACAGAACAAGCTGATGTGAGATAGATGAATGGGGGAAAGAGGGCTGTAGATTAACAACTTCCTTAGAGGCATGAGATTTGACTACAGTTATGTAAAATTAAATGCCATGGTGAGCTGTTTGTTTGTCTCCCATGCAAAAATCAGCTCAGCCACAGCCACCACCTTCATAGGACACATGTGCGCACACAAATTTTTGATGGTTCAGCACTTTTTATCCTTACAACAAATGGGGTTTGTTTGTTTTTTTTACACCAAAAGACTAACAAGTGAATACTCCTAAGGAAACAAATGAACATCCCATGAAATAAGACTGCATTCACATCTACAGAGCAGTAGGGATAGGTGGCATTTAATGGAGCTGGTAATTGCTCAGAGAGAGGCTTTCAGGCTAAGAGGTCCTGAAGTTGACTCATCATTTGAAGTGTGAAAGAAAAGCAGTCTGAAACAGGAAAGCTCTAAGGGTATGTCTATACTGCAATTAAAAACCCATGGCTGGCCTGTGACAGCTGACTCAGGTTCACGGGACTTGGGCTCAGGGGCTGTTTAATTGAGGTGTAGACATTTGGGCTCTGGCTGGAGCTCAGGCTCTAAGACCCTGTGAAGTACTGTGGGAGGGTTGCAGAGTTTGGGCTGCACATCTACCCTAAGCCCGAACCCTGTGAGCCTGAGTCAGCTGGCACAGGCCAGCCATGGGTGTCCGAGATGTAGACATATCCTGTGGGGTCTTCCTTTGCAAGATAAATACAAAGGTGTATTCTCCATTTATGCTCTACATAAGGACACAAACATTCTAATTGTTAGCCAAAATATTATGCGTATGCATCACTATGTATTAAACACACATTATGTAACATCTGAATGTTGGGTAATCCTGCTAATTGTATACCGTGAATTGTATTATGCTTTCCCCAGAATACTATTCACTCCAGTTTACTCATATTAAGGTATATCCCAAAACACTTTGCAACAGTCTGTTGCAGAAAAATAAAAAACCTGTCAGAAGCAAGATGTAAGAAGGTATGCTCTGGTATGGTTACGGAGTGCTTTCCACTGATACCTGGAATGTGGTATCCAAAACAATGAGGAAGGTACAGGATAGGTTGGAACAGAAAAACAAGTACCAACCAGCGGGTGACATACAGTGCTCTCTAACTTGCAAACGGGTACAATAAATATAACTAGTCTTAGGTGCATGTTTTCGAAGCAGTCCTGTTATACCAACAAAAACCAGCAAGATCTTATTAAAGGGAAAAAGGCAAAATACCACGTTTATTGTGAATACAGAAAGAATCATAGTAAGCAGTTAGTTATAGTTATAACATTCCATTCAATCTCATATTTATTCACACATTCATTCATATACAAACACACACACACAGGTTCTGCAAGGTTATCATCATAGTTACCAGCCTTAGAGTTGCTCATGCCAAGCCACTGGTCAGGTGGCGTGGACATAAGGAGGGAGCAGGGCCTTGTCAGATGCTCATCTGATGCTCCTGGAAGTTTGTTTGCAGAATCAGACCCCAAAGTTCT